TAGCACCCACACGAGCGGCAACTAACCGTTCGCTGCGTCATTCGTTCTCATTGGTCAGACAAGAAAAGTTGACATTGCCGCCGCCCGCTTCTTTGCCGCGCCCGAGGCGCCCCGCTTTTAGGCCGCACCAAGGTCACGTTGCCGATCGTCCTGCACCGCGACCTCCAGTCGTTGACGCCGCCTCAGTCGCTGGCGTCTCTCGAGGACCTCAACAAACTGCGTAGCTTTGCCGCCGATCGCGAAGCCTGGAAGGCCTTTACACTGCGAGTCGTCATGGGCCTCACCTGCGGCCACAAGCGCCCCCGGACGACCACAGAAGATCAAAACGAGCCCCCGCCTGCGCAGCAACGGCCCGGTGAGCGAATGAAGAAGAAGGAGATTGCTAGTCTCTACGTATGCGAACTCTTTGTAACAAGATAGCGCGAAACACGTTCATATATAAGAGAGGTTGGCATCGGGCGTCAGAGTGGTTGGAGGCAGCAAACACCTTAGGTTTCGCGAAAAGAGAGAGCACTGGGACACGACGGCGACCCGAAAGGGACCGTTGGAGATGGTTGGAGATGTCACCGTTGGAGATGGCCGGATAATGCGTGCACCAAAGCGTGCCAGCTCACCTTCATCCGGATTCAGAAATCGAATCCAGCAGGAGTGAGCTGGAGCTGCTGCCAGTGTCATTCCTCAACAAGCCATGGCGGTGACGGACGACGTGAAGAAGGCGCGGCAGCGCGTTGCCGACAAGAAGTACAAAACAGCGAACAAGGAGAAGATTGCGGCCCAGAGCAAGGCCCGCTACAAGAAGAACCACAAGCAAGTGTTGGCGAAGCAGAAGGAATACCAACAAAAGAACAAGGCAGTTCTCCAAGCCAAGGACAAGACGTGGCGCATGGCGAATCGGGCGTACAAAAACGCAAGCGAACGAGCTCGGTAGGATGTCCTTGCGATCAAACCGATTGGTTTTTCTCATGGTTTTTCCTAGTTACGCGCGAAAGAAGGCGATTGCGGACGGCGAGATTCCACCTCCCATGCCCAGAATCGCCGATTTCCGAGCCCAATACGAAGCATCTCGTAGCGTCGCTCCGGCTGCGTCGACGGATGCGGCCCCACACGACCTCCTTCACGAAGACGTCCCCCACCCCTTGGCTGCCACCACCAAGCCTATTGTCATGGTCAGCTTCACGGACGAGAATCCGTTCAACTTGCGCAAGCGTGGGCCTGAGCCGTGCTGCGACGAGTGTGCGCTCTTCCAGCCGAATGCGCTCACGTCGGCCACCAACACGGTGCTCTTGGCGGGCACGTACATGTGTACGTTCTGCCGCGACTGGACCTACTACCGTCTCCACCGCAAGCACAAGCGCACCCGCGCCGACGCGCGCCTCGACGCCCTCTCGGCTTGAGCTTTTTGTTTTTGGATATTTTGCATAATGAAGTCTCTTTAGTACTGCTTTGTACGCGCATCGCTAGCAGCATTCTATCGGAATAGAGTCGTCAGTCGTATTCCATGTGCAGAAGGACCTTGGTTGATTTGCTGGTGCGTCATTTGAAGGTAATCTAGTTGCTGCCTCTGCCAGAGAGCACCTCCGTCCATGTTTCGAAAGATCTACGCTGCACGCTTCTCACCACCACGCGATTGGCGCTGCTACGCTTCCAAGGGTCGAGTAGCATCGACGCAAGCGCTGCCTTCACTAGAGATTGGTGCACAAGTTGTTGAGTCACTTGTCAACCGCGTCGCTTTGCGCATATCGGATTGGGATCTCGCAATGAAAGCTTCCAGTTGATCATCCCGCCGGCTACAAGTGCTGCAAGATGTACAGCTTGAACCTGCCGTTTTAGGCAATCGTCGCCACCGACTTCACCAAATGACTCGACGGTTAGACCACGACATCGGAGAACTCCAGCCTACAATAAAATCCCCCGTCCCATCCTCCATTGCCAACTTGCGTCGCATGTGGACCAAAGACCTGCTCGGCAACACAAGGAAGGCGTTGCTCATCGCTGCTTCTCCCGAGCACAATGATAGTGTGCATCCCCTCCAGAAATTAGCTAACACAAAAGCTCAAATACGTGTTCAAAGATCAATGTCGTCGGCTCCTTCACCATCAAAGCAGCGAGAATCGCTTCTGAGCTTCGGTGGCAAGCCGCTCAAACTCCTCCAGCCCTGCTTGAAAGACGAGCTTGGCGTCGGGTTGATCTGGAAAATCATCTGGTGTCAGCTTGGCGATGATCTCGCAGAGCTTCGTGTAGCGGTAGGGACGGAAGACCCATTCGTTGCTTGGACGCACAGTAGGGACCAGAGAGTGACCGTTGGCGTGCTTCGACGACTTCTTGCTCTTCTTCGACTTGTGTTTCTTTCCCACACTCGTCGTCGACGCACGTGGCTGCAAGGCGATCTTAAACTCGCAGTATCGAACGGCAAAGTCGCCGAGCTCGTCGAGATCGCGCCCGTGCTCGAGCGCTGCCCATCTCTCGCGCAAGTCCTTTGCATCTCTCAAAAGGATTGCCATCTCTGCATCGCGAGCGTCGGCGCGCGTATTAGAGGCCTTGATGCGCTTGCGGAGCTTGACGATCTCTGTGTTCAAAACCTTGCTGAGCGCATCACGAATCTGGCCGTTCTTCTTGAAGGCAGCCATGAGCTTGTTGTAGCGTCTTTCCTGTTCCTGAAAGTACGCCTTGGTGTCCATGAGCTTGTCGTACGAAATGTTGAAGGTCGCTGTG